TTTTAAATCAGGTTTGTGCCTCTCACACATTTTGGTGCACAATTACTTGATCATACATAGTAGTATAACATTTCTTTATTGTGAACTTCCTTTATGTAGATTTAAAAGAAAATTACAAAGTATTGGCTCAAGACATTTTTATTCTATTAACTTTCTTTAGTTGAATACCCATTTCATTTCAGAGGTAATAGGGATGAATGTTTAACTGGGAGACTAGGTACAATATATTTTTTGCACATTTAAAAGTTTTCCTTAAACTATCATTCATCATTTGATAAAAGTTCACTTTATTGATTGATAAATGCTAACATTTTTATTTTTAACTTTATTGCTAGGTTGAAATACTTGTACCAATTTTAGTTGACTTGTCAAGTTCTAGTAAAATACAATTTATGCTACCAATCAGTTTTTGAATGATACTTTTCTGAGGCTTCTACTAAAATTGATTTTAGTTATTTTAAGGCTGAGAAAATGATTTTCAGTTTTAAATTATATCAACCTTGAAATGATCTTTACCTGAGAGATTGGCTTCAAATCAACCAACGCTATTAATTATCATTCTATTCTTTTATATAAAACTTTATTTGCTTATTTAACCATATTGAAATAATTTTTGATTTTATTCATTTTTTATAAAGTTAAGCAAAGGCTGTTTGAGAGTGGATGCCGATATGAAGTAGCAGTGTGTATACATGGAATCTTGTGAGAATTTTAGAGAAATGTTAAGAATGGAATCTTGCCAAAATCTGTTTAGCATCTGAGCATCAGAATAGGGTTACAAACTGAACACTTGGCATAAAATTGAGAACTAAAAAAGGCACAAAGTATTTCAAGGGTTTCAAGCTGCAAAATGAATTTCTAAACAAATTTGTATCTTTATAGTTAAATTTAGAAATAAATTTTACTGATGGATGTACATTTTTTTCTTTAATTTTTGATTTTAATTGTGTATGTGTATCTTCTATGTGCCATGTCCTGAAGGGACATGGACGATCATGACTCTCCACAACTTCCTATTCTTTATGGTGCTTAACAGTGTTTGTCTTTTTACTATCCCTTCAACTCCCTGTTCTGCCATCCATTTACCCAAGCTCATTTAGTAGGTTACTTATTGTTTCCTTATTGTCTTCAGTACATCCTGTGAATGCCAAATTTTCCAAGCCTTCTTTCCTCATTATTTATCCTTGAAATTTCAACTTTCTTTTTTCTGATTCTAAGTATAAGTGTCATTTTTGTCTCCATTTTCCTTACAATTTCTTCATTGTTTACATGCTCTATCCTTGGTATTCTCAGCATCCTTCAGTAGAACTATATCAATGTTGCCTTATGTAAATAAAATGGCAGGTAATTTAACTGCGTTTATGACATCATGATCACTTGTTAATTAGTCAACAATTCAAGTAATTTGAGTTCCAAATACATTGATATTATTAAAGCCTTTTTGAAACTTATAAGAATTTCCTTAATTCCTTGAAAAGAAATAACCCTCACATTTACTATTTACCATTGTCCCCCCCCCAACCTATGACCAATGAAGATCTCTCAAAATATTTTATTCTTGTTAGCCAAATTTAAGCAATCTTTTTAGATTACTTAAATTTGGTTTACATTGATAGTATGACAAATATGCATTTAGTGACAATTCTTCCATTCCAAGTGAAATCATTTGTATTTGTTGTATCATCTAATTAAAATTGATTCAGCTAATTAAATGATTGAAACTACCCTGTTAACTGATGTTAAAAATATTTCTTTTTCCATTTTCATTTCCTTTATTTATTTTTTAATTTTTAATTCAATCTTCCAGAGTTTTACTACTTTGAATTATCAACTTATTTTTCATATTTTGACTAGTTTCTTGTCCTTCAAGTGTATGTATTCACCACTTATTCCATTCATCATCCAGTTTCTCTTATTAGCACTTATTGCTAACATGATCAGTTCTATAATGGGCTATATCTGTTGCTTTTTTCTCTCTCTATCTATCTATCTATATATATATATATATATATAAT